TAGCTTCCTCCAATCATGAGCCTTATGGAACCGACGTCAGCTGATCCTAAACAAACCAATTGGAACACACCTCCTTGGAGGTGGAGCCTGTAGGCTTAAGATTCAACAGAGATAAAATGTCTGACGTTCTGAGCCCAGAGGCTGAATCCTCGAAGCTAAGTTTTCTTAATTTTGGGGTTAGAAAATGGGAGGGAGTGGTTTATAAATGGGGGTGTGTTATAAACAGAAAAATACGGTAAATTGCTTTATGAATACTCTCTGACTGAACTGCAATTTCTGCTGGTATATTTTGTTTTTATACACATCTGTAAAAACCATCCTGGAATATTTTGTTCAAGGGTACAGTGCCCGTAAATATACTCAGATTTGCTATTCGTTGATGATTTTATTGCCCTACAGACACATCATCTTTGCCCCAAGCCGTCACAACAAGTATGCCGGAGTCTCCTTCCCTGGGATCTACGATGCCTTGTTTGACATTGACAACAAAAGAGATCAACACAAAGCTTGGGAGGAAGTCAAGAGGCAGATCTCCATTGCTGCTTTCACAGTGCAGGCTGCTGCAGGAACGCTGAAAGATGTGATCTAGGGCAATGACACCACATTGCCGACGGCAATGAGCACCCTCCAAGCAGATGGAATTTCCAACAGTAGTAGTGCCAGGATGATGTGGTTTTCTGTGCCAGAGATGGCGACTATGTGTCCCTGTAAGATACTGCCAGACTGAAAACTGCCAGTTTCCCTTTACTTTGGCTGCTATTGATACGGACTGAAATACGACATCTGGAGACTCATATATTCCTTCTTTTTCGTATGTGTTTTCAGGAGAGGTGAGCAGAAAGACCCATCTACAGTATGTTTAAGTAGAAGGAAGATGGAAGGGCAGCATCCCCTCTTTCTCCTTCTTTTCAGTTTCAGTGGTCACAGTTGCTCATCAAAATGACTTAAACATTTTCTGCTCCTGGGACTGTCTGCAAGCTTTACAGACTTCCCAAATGTGAAAGTGTTCAAATATGGATATTTTAGGCTGTCAACAAACATGATATCCATTGTGTTGTAATGGATAGTGAAACAGACTAGACTCAGGCAACCTCTGCTCAGCCATGGAAATTCACTGGGATGTGTGTGTGGAACTGGTAAAGCCACTCCTGAGATACATTGTTTACTTTGAAAGTCCTCTTAGGGTTTCTATAAGTTGGTTCTGACTTGATGGTACGTAATAAAAACTATTCAGGGAGAGCTTGCATTTTATTTAGAAGGTCACTTCAATATTCTCTTTTTGCTGGAAATGGCTGGTCAGGCGAGGGTGCAAGGCTACTTTGTGCCGTTCCCTGTCTTGGATCAGACAGCTGATCTGTCAGTGTAGTCATTACTGGCCAAAATCCTATTACTTAGCGTAGTAAATCACACTAAAATAGTTCCATGGAATCAATGGGGATGAAAGTTCTATTGATTCAAATGGGACTACAGTGGTGCCTCGCAAGACGAATTTAATTCGTTCTGCAGTTAATGTTATCTTGCGAAAAATTCATCTTGCGAAATGCTTTTTCCCATAGGAATGCATTGAAATCTAATTAATGCATTCCTATGGGCAAAAAAAGTCAGAACAAAGTCAAATTTGTTTTACAAAGGGATTATTAAGTGCTCTTTAAAGCCATACATATTGTGCAGATTTAAAATTTTTTGATCAAAAACCTTTAACTTTTTAAACATCACAGAAAAACATTTAAAAAATCAGCAAACATGAGGCAGAAACAAAAAACGGAAAATATTCATCTTGCAAAGCACGGCCATAGGAACATTTGTCTTGCGAGTCATCAACCCCATTGCCAAAACCATATGTCTTGCAAGTTTTTTGTCCTGCAAGGCATTTGTCTTGCAAGGCACCACTGTATTCTAACTGTGACTTATTATGCTAAAGTTGCAGCTAGAGTAAACCCATTTGAATCAATGAAACTTATGGAAAGGTTGGCTCATCAAATCCCATTGATTCAATGAGCCTACTCTAGTGCAATTTACTATGCGAAGCAACAGGATTTTGGCCATTCTTGCACCACTCTGTATTGGAGAGTTGAGTACTGCTAGGCCACTGTGTTACTCATTCTGCGAGGAGGAGATAGGACACCTGGTCTTCATTTATTGATGTATGACTCTTTGACAGAACAAGGGTAGGCCAGAACTGACACAGCATCTTTGCAGCATTGCTTGAGGGTTAGGGTGAAGCAATACATTTATCCCTACTTAGAAAAGATCCACCGACAGATGCTATAGCTGCTCAAATGCTGCTTTGGTCCTGCCAATATTGAATGTTATACTGGGAATGTTATACTAGGGTGGGGATGCCAGGCTGTCCAAACCCATATTCACCCATGAAGCATGACAGAGACAGTAACCATCCCCTTTTAGCCCAACCTGCCTTACAGATTATTGTTAGATGACACCCCCCCCCCAAAAAAAAACACCAGGAGAATTAGGCTGGGCTGAGAAATGTTGAGGCTGAAGGTAGTAAGAAATGTTTTAGAGAGCTTCATTGGCCAGGAGCTTGGTTCCAGGTGAAATTTAATGGACAGATTGAGACTGTCATTGGAAGCCCAGCTTCGCCATGTAGTTGTGTGTTCAGATGCTAAAGGGATCTCACGTACTAAAGGGATCGGCTTGAAGTGGGTCAGACTAAATGATTATCGTGGAGTCTAGTACTGTCTACTTTTCCAGGCAGTTCACCACCATGTCAGAGAGAGGGCACTGATCTCTGGCATGCAAATTATTTTCCCTTCATCAGATTTTTGGTCCTCGACACCTCTGTTCATGTTAAAAAGGTGATCTTTCAGCACACGTACTACTTTTGCTGGGTAGCGCACACTGCTAATCTGCCTCAGACCAGTTCTGAGGTTCTCTCTTCATAGCATGTTTGTAAAACTATCACCATTTTAGACTGCTAAGATAGAAGAGATAAATCTGCTTTCTGCAGGGCTCTACTATTTATAAATGAATCTATCCAAAAGGATTTTATCAGAATTCCAGCCAAGAGTAAAGTATACTTTCCCCTACATTCATTTTACCACCTTTCTGACTAAATATTTGTTTAATGCCATTGTTTAATGCTCCTTGACTCTTCTGAGTTCATAAAGTTCTACCTCTGTTCCATAATGTCGTATGAAGTAAGTCACAGTTGCTTCCACAGATTTTTTTAAATCACATTTAGGAGCTTTTGGGAGAGGGTTCACCAAAGCAGAATGAGAACAGTGAGATGTAAGGAAAAATTATTATGGGCAGGGTTAAATTTTCATTATGGGTGTGGATAGAGTCTATTGTGTTTCTTCATATACATGACAGGAAAATGGAAGTCAGAAATAATTTTTTGGGCTGAACACAAGGAGAAATATTAGAAATTAGTTTTCATGGTGTAGTAGAAACCACCTCCCTTCACCACAGTTGTAAAAAACCCAGGCAAATCCTTCCCTAATGCTGCAATATTCTGCCAGTACTGTAGAAATCAGAAGCAGAATTAAACCGTTTCATGTTCACTGTTTATTTCATAAATTTATAAAAAGGTCTGAAGGCATGAGACTGCTAACATTCAACAAAAATTAAAATAAACATTCATGCAGGAGGAAAAAGAACAATGAAAAAAACAGTCAATTAAAAAACATCAAGTGTTCCAGACACCTATTTTTTTCTTCAAGTTTGCATATATAAATGAAGTTCCTGGTTTCAATACAGAGAAAACTCAAAATTAACTTACCACTATTGAAGTTCTTACAGTCTCATGCTATAATTTAAAGCAAATAGTTGCAGAATTACACAGGATAAATTGGTTTCTTCTTTTGAAGGCAAAAACAACTGAAGTCCTGCCTTCTGAAGTGGTGACTTTGATATGTAACATTTCTAATAGGAAGCCAGTGGACCCCAATATGAATATGTATTGTGAACCAGACAGATGCACATGCAAGCCCGATGCAAGCTGACTAAAGTTATACTGTCCTGGAAAAGACAATTTTGCGCCTCTAAATGCGAATGATCTGGTTTGCCCTGCAGCCTGGGAAATTATTACTCTACGTGGCATCACCTATCAGAATAGCTGCCCCAAGCCTACAGAGTTTGTGGAAAGCTCAGTTTCTTGTTTTCGTCACCTGCTTGAGACTAGAGAAACGGGAAAGCTGGTCAAGCCCAGGCAGGCTCCCTGTATATGACAGCAGATTGTGTTGAGTTTAATGAAAATAGAAACTGCAAAAGCCTGAACTGCACACGTCTGTGGAGAGCTCTCTTAATGCTATCGCTTGCTTATCCCGCAAGAACAGCTGCCTTATTCCAACAGCAGAGACAGATGACGAAGTGACAGCAGCCTCCATACCCATTTTTGCTGTTAGAAGCATGAGTGACCGAGGCCAGCTTGAGAGGGACAGAAAAGAATGTTCTCTTGCAAGGATCTGTAGCCACTGCTTATGACAACTGTTAGTCACCTAACAGTTGAAGGCCTCTGAACGAACGGTGAGCTGGTTTGCAGGCTGGAACTAGTTTTTGTGGTTAACAATGTGCTTGCCACATCAAGTGCTAGGTAAGGATATGTTATTAAAAGCAAGGATTTAAAATATTTTAAAACAATTTGGTCTCTCATTTGATACAAGCCCCCCCAAAGGGAAGTATACATCTAATTTGTTTCACTGTACTTTGTACACAAATATTTGCATGTATTTCATAGAAGTTGACAATTTTAACTGCAGTAAAGTTAACTTTAATCACTATTCTCATATGAATAGTTAATTAACATAAGTAGCAACTTCATCTTGATTTGGTAGTAAAATTCAGCATCATGTTAAGGGTGCCACTGAAAAAACCCACCAGCATCTCTAACCGACTAAAGTAGTTTTGGTAACACTTGATGACTGGCACTTAAAGCATGGAGAATCAAAGCCAATAACCATCTTTCAATTTGTGTAGGACAGCAAGATAAATACAATTTTCTGATCAAGTTTTCCGGAGATTGGTAACATTTCTCGAGCATGGTGGGAACGTTATTACTGGGGAACCCAAAAGGCTGTATCCTCAACACTGATGCAGGTTCCTTCACTCCCCAAAGGCAGGAGCTCTACTAGGAAAAAGGAAAATGCTCCTCATTGCCAGGGAGACTACAGGAATTTTAACAACAGCACAATTTTGACTACAGCACTGTACAACTGACCCCCCCACTCCCATAATGTCTACAATCCTTGATTTCAGCCTACACTTTAGACTGTCTTGGGGCACATGGCATGAATGAATCAGGTGCAGAATCTGACACTACCCCATTGCCAGGGAGACTACAGGAATTCTAACAACAACATCTCTGGCAGGGACTTTGAGGGCAGCAGACAAATGCACAGGAAGCACTGCACAACTCCTTGATTTCAGCCTACACTTTAGACTGTCTTGGGGCACATGGCATGAATGAATCAGGTGCAGAATCTGACAAAAGCAGTAATGCTGTAGCCATGAACAATTATGTTTCCCTTGCACAATCTGGAGCAGAACTTGTACCCATCCAATCTAGTTCCCATTCTGGATGCTGGACTCTTGATTCTAATTGATAAATAATTTTTATTTATTTTGCCCCACAATTTCTGTTGCACAAAGTTTAAAATTGGCATGCTTCTGTGCCAGACTAACCACGCGTTATAATCAAGTACCACATCTATACTTTCACTAAAAGGGGCAAAAAGAGTATCTGTATTCTTGGTGTGCTGCTGTGCTTATGTGGTGGGCATAGCTAATAGAACTACAGTGGTGCCCCGCACAGCGAGATGCTGCTGTGCTTATGTGGTGTGCATAGCTAATAAAACTATAGAACTCAATGAACTACTCTGCCAGTTTTAAATGAAATGCTTTTGGTGTGATCTTCAGTCACTTTCAGGGCATTTGAGGAGAAGAAACTTACACTGGCTTGTGAAGAATGTCAGAATGGCTTTAAAAATAGAGATGATAACTACATTTGTAAAATTGCACATGTACACACTCAAGACCCAGGAATGCCAGCAAAGAAAGAAAAATGTCAAGTTATCCTTAAGGCAAAGCAGCTAAAGCAGCTGCACACAAATAACTAGGACATCAAGATGCAAGACCAACAACGGCTGGCTAGATCTGGAGTTCTGATTTGCAGAGAAGAATACTGTTAAACCCTGCTTAATGCCTCAGAAGAATTTACTGCGTGTATTCAGATGATGTTATCATTCTCCCTGATAAAATTGTAGCAGATTACAATCTCCACGTTATTACAAAACTGGAGTATTAAGAAAAGCCATAGATGGTCTTTTCCTTCAAAGACTGAAGACCAGTTTCTTTGTGCAATTGGAGCACATGCTTCAGTGATACGAGTGCCTCTACTGATCTCCATCTTCAGTAAGCTTAAGTCACTACATATGACTGCCCTTTTGCAGTCTGAAGTGGCACCAGACAGGCACAGGTTTATTATACAGTATTAGTGAGAAGAAGGTGAAGACTTGGGGAGCCTAGGGCAGAAAATAATAGCTGTCCCTGAAGCAGAGGGTCAACAAAACAAACTTCTTTAATGCCACCTCGTAGGATATCTTGGAATTGTGGCTGAAGTCTGTCTCATACGACCTACTGGAAACTATGCATCACATTCATTTTTTTAAAAATGACAGGGCATAAACTGACATTTCTAATCATCCCATGAGCACCAGCATCAAGTGTGGACATAAGGGTCTGTGTAACAGAAAAATTGATCTGTTACATTACTGAAAAGCCTAGCACTTTCCCCAAGTTAGAATGGATTTTTTTTTTTTAAAAGTGGTTGTACATAAAATCAATTCCTATTACAACAACAAGTCACCCCTTCAGAGGCAACCACTGTTACTTGCATTCAGTTTTGCTCAGCAATGTCTTCCTGCTCTTTCTGTTGTACTTTGGATTTGGGGAGTTCCAAGCCTGCCCACAGCATGGGCTCCGCTTTCCTCATAGTGAGCTCAATCTTCGTAGCCGTCATATTTACATAACTCCTTTTCACGTCGATTACCTGCAAGTGAACATGAACACTCAATTTCAGAAGAAAACTGTATGTCAGACAACCACCACGAAACAGAATTTATTGAACCTACTGGAATAATGTAACCACTGAGAAGTGTCATTTCACAGAGTGGTTAAATACAGGGAAACTGTCAAGCTCTGCCACACTGAAACATGTCTCAAGGTACAAGCTGCACCCATCTTGCTGAAAAACCATTAAGTTGCCAGAACACAAAATGATGAACAAGAAGAGAAACTGAATAGTTCAATAGCTATATTCATTCTTATTAAGCTACTTACCAGCTCCTTTAAACACGAACGTATACCAAGTAATATATACAGACATGGAAACTAACCTTTGATATTATATATTTCTTCTGGCACATAATCTCCATGACTTCACAAGATTATGAAAACTGCCAAAAACTAAGCCAGACATCATTACAATATTATCTGAAATTTTCTTGAGAAGTATGTGAATACTTACACCCCATAAATTCAGATGCTGATTAAACTCCTTATCATGTTCAAATACAATATGGATATTTATCTGCGAAAGGAAATGAGAAATATGCAACAGTAGGCTATTATTCAGTATTTTTATGTGTGGCATTTTTATATTCATCCAACCTGTGAATGCTTATTAGAAAATAAAACTAGTTTTGACTTAGCATGTTGAGAAGCACACTGCATTTAACAAATAATTACAGCACTAAAGCTTTGAATGTCCTATCACTTTCTGGATGGAACATAAGAACTGGAAGTTGAAGAACATGAGAGGAAAAACAGACACCACCAGGAATACTCTGCTTGACAGGGTTAAGCTACCCAGTGCCCTGAGGGGTGGTGTGTCTGAATAAGGACATGCACTCCTCTCCCAAGGTTCAGATTCCCAGTCCCCAATAAATCTGGGACAAAGCGTAATACATACACAGTATATGACCTTCTACAGAATTTCCTTTGCAAAGAATGTTTCGCACAGGCTTTGATATATCCCTGTATTTCAGCATCACAAAAGAAAATGTCCTCAAATTAAACTAGCTGATGACCTTTACCCCCTGGCCTGTGGCACTACTGGTTTGCCTTTACCTTCCCTGACCTACACTGACTTTCCTTCAACTTTGACTTATATTTCTATGGTTGCTGATGTTACATCATTCCTTCCCTCATTTTTTTCTTGTCCCTCTTTGACAGAGTACAGAGAAGATACGTTGCCTTTGCTCTGGAGAGGTGAAGGCCACAGCTCCCAATAACTCCATCTTGGTCTCCTTGAACTAGGCTTCTTCTTATCAATCCTGTTACAATATTTTTAGAATAAGAGCTGCAGTTGTGATTTAGTTCAAAAAAGAAACAACCATTCCAATATCCGGGGGCTGAAATCACAAATTAATTTAGCTCCTGTTTGCTCTGCTAAGACACTTGACAGACACTGCTTCTTGGAAATGCCACCTATCCTATGTTAATGTGATATGTTGAGAGCACCAAGATGCCATGTTAACCCATTTCAGCATGTGTAACAACAAAAAGAGCCATGGCACCTAAAAGACAAACAGATTTATTCCAGTGTCTAGAGTTCTATTAGTTTCTGTATACAATCTGCATCGCTTTGAGCAGCTAATTGTAGCTGACAAGGTGGCAGCCCCATTTTCTTTCTTGATGAGGCAATGTGACCAAGATATGCTTTGGCACCTTGTCAGTTTCTCATAATTAGCAACAGTAAATTATACAAACCTTAAGTGAACACCAAGCTGGATGGAAAACAATGTGGGTGTTCGGCTGTGGGTGATGGAAGTTTCACACATCAGCCATTACGTTCAAACATGTATCTCCAAACAGGTAATAAATGCCAGATGTCCGCAGCATGGGCTTTTGTACTCTACATGCTAACATACAACTACCATCCCAAAAGTAAGACCTCACCGCTGCTTTTTTCAGATATGTAAATTAACCCTTAATTTTAAAGAGGAACAAACGTAGGCTTAACTCTTTTTAAGAGACATAGCAAGAATTTCCAAGATGAGAACAAATTCAAACAGTAACTCACCCTGGTGCTATTTGCTTCTACTTGGCTGAGCTCAGGAATGGAATTCTTAGCATAGATTGAAATGATCACTTCCCCTCCAGTTTGATGCCAATCGTGCCTGCATGGAACCACTTTTTTCCCCTGTAGGTGGAAAGTTAAATGTTCAAAGTGTCATTTTAATCTGATTTAAAACACTTTACTGCTACTAATTCTTTTCAGGAAGCAAAATACTGACAATGGTAGACACTGCTCAAAACAGGCAGGTTTTGTACCCTGAGGCATTATAAAAATAAAAACTACTCTCCGGAGAAAAGTTTGAATACAGACGAGTTCATGGAACGTCCAAAGCTGATGAGATCCCTCACATTTAGCTATGCAATTTATTGCTGAGCATAGCTAGACAGTAGCAGTTTGGAGAAGACACTGATAAGATGTGCCATTGAAATAATTAAATGAAAGAATAAGAACAAAAGTGTGTGGTGTTCTTTATTAACATACCAGGGAATCTACCTGGTTTGTGGATTATGCTACCTGAAGGTATAACCAGAAGGCTCTTGGAGGCTCTCTTGATCCAGGAAGCCTCATTTAATTTGCTGTGGCAGTTTTTAAATTTTAATTTTCCTCAATATATACAATTTCCCTGAACACCATGCTCAAACAGGTTACTTATTTCTTCTAAATGTTTCAGTGCATCAAAGTTGTTAAAGATCAAGTGGGAGGAAAACCAATGTGTGTGTTGGGTGGAAGTCTCATACACCATCCAAACATGCACATCCAAAACAGATAAGGAAGTCAAGTGTCAAGAGATTTCCAGCTACTCACAGCATCCTTCTTAATCCATACATGGGTTCCTGTTGTACAACCCTCTTGAGACAAGAAAGTATTGAAGTCTGAGGTTTTCCTCTTGCAGCAGCTCCAGTACTTCATCCTATGCATTCAAATGTTAAGGAAGCCAAATGAAATCACAATAGCGCCAGTCTCAAGTTTCATTACATGGCTCCTATTAAGAGCCACTATTCTAAGTGCGCCAAAGAGTCATAGGGAATTTAAGGTCACTATGTGGTATTCAAATGATACTGACCCTTCATGAAATATAGGCACACCAGCGTGGTATGTACACATTTCTTCCATGCTGTGTGGTCCTTCAAATGTCTAGGAAAAATATTAACACAACATTAATTTCTTACTAGCCAATGTGTAACATTATAGTACATAGTAACATTTCTGTATCTGGAAGGAGGAAAGCCCTGTAACCTTTATTAGCTCAATGGTGTAAGTCTCTGGCTATGGAGCCAGAGGTTGGGAGTTCGATTCCCCCCTATGCCTCTTTTGACACATGCTGAAATCAATGATCCACAGGGTTTCCAGTTCGGCAGTTCTAAGATTATTGTTATCTAAGCTTATATTTCCCACCCACCATCAGTTGAGACAGCAGCTTAGTTAGCAGACTTGTTCTTCCCTCCAACTGCCCAGCCCACGGGAAGGAAAAGGTAACATGCACCTTTCTTAAAACATCATTCCCTCAGATTCTTTTGTTATCAATATATGAGAATGTGGAATACGACAAAATGACTAAAGAATTGATAACTAATTCATTAACAGCAGCTAGACTGATTATTGCTAGGCAATGGAAATTAAAAACTGAATTGCAAATTGAAGAATGGTACAAAGAAATATGGAATATAGCAATAAATGATAAATTAACTTGTAATTTAAAGATTGAAGAAGAAGAAGAAGAAGAAGAAGGCGGCAAGAGGTCCCATACATGGTGGTGGGGAACACAGTCATTGTACTTGAGTTTATGTTATATGTATATGTTTTTGTTCATGGTACAGTTATAGAAAATGAAAAATACTTAAATAAAAAACACCATTCCCTCAACACTGTGCTTTCCAAGTTTGTTTGTGTGGGGTTGGATTATTTATTTATTTATTTATTAAAATTATACCCCACCCATCTGGACCGAAGTCTACTCTGGAAGTCTACTTTGTGAGAAGTACCACTCCCATCATCCCTGACCACTGCTCTGGTACAGTTATAGAAAATGAAAAATACTTAAATAAAAAACACCATTCCCTCAACACTGTGCTTTCCAAGTTTGTTTGTGTGGGGTTGGATTATTTATTTATTTATTTATTAAAATTATACCCCACCCATCTGGACCGAAGTCTACTCTGGAAGTCTACTTTGTGAGAAGTACCACTCCCATCATCCCTGACCACTGCTCATAGTGGCTGATGGGCTTTTTATGGGAAGCACCACTCCCATCATCCCTGACCACTGCTCATAGTGGCTGAGGTGATGGGAGATCTACTTCCAAACATCTAAGGAGCACCAGGTTTGATAAAGCAGTTCTAAAATAAGTGTAATCTCTTACACCTCCATAATAACAACTCACAGCATAAATAATTAAGCATGCCATTAAATTTGCAAGCAATTTTCATTTTACAGTGTATTTGATATGTCATATAGAAAATTACAAAAGTGAAGTAAACGGTCAAGTGTTCACTTAACTGACAATAATGGAATTACAACTTCCATCAAAGGGGGAACTTTTACATCAGTGGCATTTGTGCATGCATGTGAAATCTGAGATCTTTACCTTAGTACAGCCCGCATTTTTACATGGAGTACCAATCTTTATCTCATCTGTATCATCTTCTGTAAAATAATAATGCTGTGCGTTATAACAATCTTAAGATTCTGTTTTAAAACTTGCATTTACAAGGTATACACCAAAGAAAAGTAGATATTCTGAGCATTTTCTACCCCAGATTTATATATCAGTTAATCATGTACCAAGATTCTAAAACACTGCTTTGAGTTGTGGGTTTCCCCCCTCACCTTAGTGAGAATTCCACTGTATTAGCATTAATATAACACTTTCACATACTCTGCCTGTACTTCCCTAGGGGTCTAATAAATGCTCAATTAAAGGGATCCAATCTAATGCCAACCAGAGTACCGTATTTTTCTGTGTATAAGACTGTGTACAAGACGATAATATGTTGGAGGAACTTTTAGCCTAGCTTTTTTTAAATAAAGAACTCTGTATTTGGCAAATAACTGACATTCAGATACAGTGACAATTAGATACAATTCAACACGAATGACCTTGGGAAGATAAAATATTAAAAGTAACATTTTAGCACATTTATTTACATAAACACATGGAATCTATGTTACATACCATTTTTAATTTCATTACTAGATGACAATTTCAACTTTTCTAATGCTTGCTTCAAGGATGCTGATACTTTCAGCTGCAAATAACTCATTGGCTCATCTGGGCTAAAGAAAATAGAGAGAAAAGTTATCATTGATTTTAATCTGAAAAAAGTATTAGTTTCCATATTTTATGAAGTCTGCTAAAGCGCCTATCTTGAGCCTGGAGGAGGGGTACTTAATTTTATTTTATCAAATAACAAGTTTTGTAGTACTTCAAAGACTTTTAATTTGCTTTTGACTGAATTGATTAATACATGTAGTGAGCTAAAAAGCTCCTGACCCTGTTCAAATCAAGGCAAATAAACTGAACTTCATATATTCTTGCTCACCTGTTTCATTTTAGAATTTTTCTTTCTTACTTACTTACTTACTTTCTCTCTCTCACTCTCTCTTTCTCCCCAGCTATTTATTTATTTATTTAATTTATACCCCACCCATCTAGACCGAAGTCTACTCTGGGTGGCTAACACTTCAAGTAATAATAAAATAAAATAACATTAATACAATTGAAGATGGAGATATAGATTAGTTATAGATGGGAGGTTGGAGACCACACACCTAGGGACACTGCATTGTTTTCCCACTGCTTTTTGAGAAATTATAATGTCAGATTTATGTCCATTTATTCTTCTGTGTAAAAATTGGCTCAACCGCCCTACATAAAATGATGTAGGACATTTCTGGAAGAAGATGACCTATTTCAAATTACAAAATGAGCACATACAGAAACCCTAATGTTGTGCATTACATTATTAGTTTTTTAATAGTGTTTCTTTTTCTTGTAAACATGAGAAGAGAGCTTTCATTCAGTTTTGCTACAAGGCCTGTTTCCTTTGTATGCATCTCCATTGGAAAGTCTGCTATTGCAGGGATAAAGCAGAGATGAAGCTTTCATTGCTACAACTCATCTGGATGCATGCTTTTACCCTAGGAATAGGTTTCAGAACCTTTGCCTCATCATTTGGTCATAGGACTACACATTCACTGACTATACCCTAATTACCAGTGGTAGATTTCCAGATGTTAGATTCCAAATGTTATCTGCTCCAGGTAACAAAGCCATTGATCAGGGCTGTCCATGCTATAGTCCTTCCACTTATGTGGTTACTCAGCCTTAAAATGTGTACATGCAGCTTCACATTTCAACATTAACATTACATGCGAACTCAAAGGCTGAAAAAAGGTTATTTATATAAACTACAAAAAAAGAACACTACCAACTGAACATAACTTCGGCATAAATGTCCAATCTAAGTCTAATACCTTGGCCTCTGAATGGCTTCCACTGGCTTTGGTGCCTGAATTATGTGCTCCTGAAATTTCGGTTTCAAGTCAGCTAACTCTTTCCGCTCAGAGGTAGTTTTAACTTCAGGTTTGACAGGTTCAGGTGGCTTCTCACTGTTATGGAAACCCTTGGTGCAACCCTGTTGTAAAATGCAAAAGTATTAATACAAATAAATTGGTTTTATTCCATCAATGTAAATTTTAAGCTTTTGCTTCTTCTCAACCATTTGCCATTCAATACTATGTAACACTACACATTTAAACCTATTATATCTCTATCTTTATCTCACATACAGAGATCTACATTCTTATGATTTTAACTTATGTGATTTAAAACGAGTTCTATATTTTATTAGAGTTACTACTGTTACACTAATACCATGTTTCCCCAAAAATAAGACCTAACCTGAAAATAAGCCCTAGTAGGATTTTTCAGGATGCTCATAATATAAGCCTTACCTCAAAAATAAGCCCTAGTTAAGTGAAACCCTGCCCTCCACCATTGTGCAGCAACCAGAAGATGACATGAATGTATTTGAATAAATATAGATTATAGTACATGAAAAAATAAAATATCCCCTGAAAATAAGCCCTAAGGCATTTTTGGAGAAGTAATATAAGAACCCCGTCTTATTTTGGGGGAAACAGGGTAGCAATCTCAGCTCTCTAAGTGCTATTTTTATGTAGCAAAAACTGCACTATCACAGAAAGCATCACATTACAGTTAAAGAATATTGCAAATTAGTATCAATTTTAAAAAATGCATCCTGGTTTTCATAATGTTGAGCAGTATACTTGAATGCAAAGACAATTAGGACTCCCATACTCTCAACAATTTGGCAAAAAGGAAATTCCTTCACAGGGAGATTGTGCAAAGCCCTTATCCACTGAAACATGCTCAGCTAAACAGCTACTGAAATAGCCGGTAAGGCATAGCCCTCTCCTCAGCGCTTATCAGGATATTGGGAAAGGCATAGCTAATTTGGGAAGAAAACATTTAATGCCATCACTTTAGCTAATATAAAATAAACTGAAAAGGCAGATAACTACTTTCCCCTAATTTTACAAATGGTTTTAAGTTATAATATTTCAAATAAAGTTATTGGGAATATCAGTTTTCATGTCTATTGATGAGTGAATGAGTTAAACGAGGTTGCCAAACATTGCACTAGAAAAAAAAAATGAACCCTGGCTATCTCAGTCATGATGTACCATTCAAGCATCAAGTCTGTTCTGTAATTCAAAACCCTTATATTATCAATACATACCACAATGCTTAGAAAGTCAGAGAAATCTGTGGTTCTTCTTTTACAGCATGACCACCCCTGTAAAATACACACCACATGAAATATTTCATTTCTCTTAACAACTGCTAAGAGCAGGAAATAAAAACAAAGCCAGAGCCTAATATTTTAATCTTAACTAAGTTATTACGATAAGAATCCTTCTTTTTTGTATCTCAGTTCCATTACATCTATCTCTTCACTACCACCTGCAGATATAGGAGCTATGTCTTGTTTTAACTGTAAACACATTTAGTAATGTTTCTCGTTAGAACAAAATATATAGAAATAAGCAAGTACTTCCGATAAGAACAGTGATCTACACTGATTGCAAATACCATTACTTTGAAATAATTAAACCTGCACACCTACTTTAAGAGCATCATGAAATACGGGTACTCCTGGGTGATATGTGCATGAGTCTAAAAATGAGAAAGAAACACAAATTAGTCAAGGACAGTAGCAAACAAAGCTGAATTGTACTTACCTTCACATGTTTGCCACATTATCTAAATACAACAAGCCCATCTAAAAACACACTAGATGTTCTTCTCTGTTTGGAAATCTTGGGATTCAGGAGGCATAAGAACACCTTTTTAAGCCAATGTGTTACTCTGTACATTTTTCTTGCTGCCATTTGCTCTTTAAAACCCAACAGCAAGGGGACTGTGTTACTCTGTACAACATTTTTCTTGCTGCCATTTGCTCTTTAAAACCCAACAGCAAGGGGAAAAATGTAAATCTGTATATAGATCAAATTAAATTGAAGTTGAGTGCCATCATACAGTGTTTTACCCTCATTTCTCTTGTAATGTAACCACTGAACAACAAAAGGCGGAAAGTGGAAGATTATTTTACTCCTTCCACCACTATGCCTGTCAGTACAGTCATGTGAACCATGTACTAAGACAACTAGTACGTATACAGGAAGTAATCCTACAATCAAAGAGTTTAAGGCTGTAACATAACAGCTCTGCTCTCACCTGTCCGTCACAGTTGGGCAGGGGAACATCAGCCAATGAGAGGACGGAGGGTGGTGCAGAAGGGGGAGGAGCTGGATTATATAAGGGGTGTGTGTGTGATGTGTTAGAGAGTTTATGAGAGTTTTGGAAGATGAGAGTTGTTTGAGAGAGTGAGATAGATTTGTGAGAGCTAGTCAGTGAGGGAAAAGTCTGTGTGATTTAGTAATTGAGAAACGTGATTTACAACTTGATTTACTACCTGTGATTCACCATTTTTATTTTGTCAAATCAATAAACAACGGTTTTGTTTAGAAGAAACACTTGTCCTTTTAAATACTGAATAAACTTTGGTGGCAGCAGTTTGAAGAAGAGTAGTGAGCACGCTGGGAGGTCTGAGTTGACAGAGGCTTGAGTGGTCCGCTACAAAGGCTCAGATCTAAAAGATAGCATTTTAAGTCTGCATGCCTAAAAAGGCTTTTAGATTTGCGTTTCTTCAATACTACAATAGGGAACACCACTCAAAATAGACCAGAATCTAGGTAAACATTATCTGACATGTGTAGGGTAGGTCAAAGAACCCTAACTTTCAGATGTACAATATCAACATAAAGTTTTGTGAGGATACCCTGAGAAGTATACAAAATCTTTTCTAGGATAAATTACCAAACAAAGGAGCTATAAGAAATGAATTTAAACTGGAGATAAATCCTAAACGTCTTCAGAAATATAGGGTCCGCCTTATTTATGGACTACCTATGGAAGAGGGGAGTGTTAGTCTACAACTGGACAACCCTCTGAAAATAACATTATCCCTTCTGCCAAAAGAGAGAAGAAACTGAGTACTGTATGAAGGGCATTCAAGGGGCAGAATACTGAGATCTTCTTTCTTACATCCAGCTGCTGTAACTAAGTATGTGAAGATATTCTAAGCATGAAATTCATGGTTGTCTGTAGCTGCTGGAGGACTTATCGCAAGGCAGCATCAAAGAAACCATAAAATCCTATTCCAATAGGGGAGAAAATAAAATATTTTCCCGAACAAGTTTTTTTTGAGCCACTTACACAACCCAATCCCACATTTTAAATTATACATACATTTAAAAAGTTTATATAAGTAAGAAGAGAAGTTTCTTAAAACCAAAAAGAATACTATTTGCTCTATCACATTTAATATAAGCTAAATTGTTCTGGAGTTCAAGAATACTTCAATTTCTCACTTTTTCAAGGGCAATGTCTGACTCAGTTGTAACATAAAGAATTAAATGTGATATGAAGCAAATCATAGACTTTAAAAACAGCCCTGAACAGTAGTCCAGATATTAGTACTGAACACTAGATTCTGTGATGACTGCACTGTTAACTATTATGCTGCACACTATTCAGCACTTCTTAGACCATATGAAATACTGTGAACACATCTACCAAGGAAAACACATACACAGATAACTGATGCCCCATATGTTAATTCTGTTCTAATGACCAATCATGGTCTCAAGTATTTTGTGAATCATAAATATGAAATGACATATTTCATATAAAACCATAATCATTTAATTAACAAGTTTCTCCATGGCAAGTTTGTGACAAGTAATCAATTAAAATGTCCTCCACTAAAAATGTCTGAGACTAACTGGATAATTTAAAAAGCAAGACAGAACTCACAAAACCTGCATTTGGTGAGTATCATCTACACACAATGGCATACACTTTCCATCTTGTATACTGTATTAGGGAATGACTCTTCTATAGTGCTTGCAACAATATGATACGTACATCAATTAAGAAAAAGGCAATTCTGCATTTTCATCTAGAATTCTATTTATTCATACACAAGCTTCTGAAAAATTAACTAATGAATAGTCTATTATTCATACAATCAATTGTGTTCATCCCCTGTTTTACAGGGGGTGAACACAACACATTAGTACACAGAACCACAAGAATACTAAAACAGATCTAGCCATCAGATTGCAGAGTATAAATCTAAGGAAATTATTATTTTGAAAAAGTATTCAGGAGTGAGACACGGTATCTATATTAACACATGCAGTTGCTCTTGAGGCACTGCATCAATTGTGTCACAATTAGATACGTCTGTAAGATGCCATATGGTCGCCTTGCTTCTGCAGTGGCACACCTACTCTCCCCTACTGTCACATATGCTGTGAACTACATTTCAAACAGAGCTCTCAATCTAAAATGAGCCATTCTCCATCAGATCAGAAGCCTAACTGCACCAGCGCTTCATCTGCACCAGATGGAAAGCTCACTAGGAGAACATGAGTGCAAAAGCAGCCTTCTGCTTATGTTTCCCAGCAACTGATAAACAGAGAAATGGAACCTGCAGTACTGGGGAAATATGTAACTGTTACGACTAGTAGCCACTGAACAGCCTGGTCCTCTCAGCAAATGATTAGCTTGAAGTAGCCTTCTTATTCAATTTTGTACTCTATCCCTGCTTTTCTCTTAACTTGTTATCCTTGACTTTCATTCTCTTGTCTTCTATCTTCCAGTCCCCACTGAACAAAGCCTACAGTTACTACTCTGTATTCTGTACAACTGTATCACATGAACCACTCTGGCTCACCTCCTAAAATAACTTAAATGACATTTGTAATTCAAGACTATTATCAGCTTGCTGCAACAAAACAAAATGTTCCCAAAGTAAGCCTGAAATATTACGGGTGCTATGGAGTGACAAAATAACAGTTGTCCATTATTATTCATTGAGATATGAAGTTGGCAGAAGAAAATCTGTTTCCATTACAAATATTTGGACCGCCTGGGTATTAAAAATTAGAGGATATTTCCTGTATGATATTTAAACATAAGTTGAACTAGAAGGGACCATAGTAAAGTACGTATTCTAGTTTTATGATTCACTGCAAGTTAGCAGGACAGTCATAACACAATCAAAGACTACATTCACTAATTTTTTTTTTACTGGGGCATAAATATCCAAATTTGATCCAATTTTCCACAAAGCAAGCCAAGAAATGTGCCAAGGGAGAGCACTTAATGAGATGAAGGAGAGAAGGGGCAGAAAAGCAGGGAGTGAATGGCTGAGGCATCACATCAAGCCAATCACCTCATACTCTGCATAAGGAATACTGTATTTCAAGAATTCACCTCTGCCTGTCTATTCAGGTCAGCCACAGATCTTTCTTGCAGAAATCAGGCCTCAGCAGTTCCCAAAGGTTCAGGAGATAAGAAAGGACCAGGATTAAAGGTTTGAAAGGAAATGGTTTCTCTGTCACCCTAAAGAAAACTATAAAACTGGAGCGAAGAAGGAAGCTAACAACCCCTCACCTCTCAAACTAATGAGGCAAAGGGTCAAGAGGAGGCATAGCTTCTGTATAAAACTGGAGAGAAGAAAGGAAGCTAACAATCCTTCACCTCTCAAACCAGTGGGAGGCAAAGGGTCAAGAGGAGGCATAGCTTAGAATCAGATCATAAAAGAAATGCAGAATAAGGTGATGACTTGCCAGAAATAAATGAGACCTAACTTATACATAATACTGCCACATAGATTTCAGAGGATCTCATACCAATATATAGTTTTTATTTCATATAGAGGAGACGTCACTTGCCCTTAAAACTCATGTTTTTAAGAGTCCGGTGGGGTGGATCTCACAGTACAGCATCCTTTAAGTCTCCCTCACCCATGCCAGAGAAAGAGACCTTATTCAACCTATATCGATCTCTTCCTCCCCTTCCCCCCCTTTTTTTGTCCTCACAACATCCCGGCGAGGTAGGCCAGTGTCTGAAAGCAGGTGTATGAGGGGGAAACGAGTCCCAAGGTCACCCCGAAGACCATAGGGTCGGAAAGAAAGGCTTCGGCTCGGGCTTTGCTACGGGCCTCCAACTCGCCCCAAAGGGAGGGGGAGGTAGATAAAGGCAGCTCCCTCTCTCTCTCTCAGGCCTCCGTCTGCTTTTGCCCCCCATCTCCCCTCAGGCCAAGAAGGTGCCTCTCCTCTCCCTTCTTCTCAGGCCCTTTCCCCTTCCCTCACACCGTCCGGTCCCGCCACCTCCCGGCCTCGGTCTCGGCCTCACCTTCCCGGTTGTTCTCGGGGTCGAAGCGCTGCCCGCAGCCCCGGTTGTAGCACAGCTGAGCCATGAGGAGAAAAAAAAAGGAGGCCGGAAAGCAGCGCCGGAGCCGCGTGAGGGAGAGAGAGAAAAAGCCGGCGAAAAGACGCTCCCGTCGCTTCCCTCACTGACAGGAAGGAAAGAAGGCAAGGAGCCGCCCGCCTCGCTCGCTCGCTCCTGCGCACGCGCGCCGGCTCCCCCCCCTTTTTTTCCGGAAAAAGCCGAACGGAAGCTTCCGGAACGTTCATGAAGCGAACGAGAGAGAGAGAGGTGGGGAGGGGGCGTTAGAACGCAAGCGCGAAGCTATTGGCCCCGCGGAGAGCCAGCCAGATACAGAGAAGGAGAGGTAGGGGGAGAAGGGCGGGGAAAGAAGCGTTGCGCATGCGCCGCTGCGGAGAGACCAACTGCTTTAATATGCGGGGTAGAGAGAAGGAGGAGGAGCCAGTGCTTGGACTAGACTGAAGACGGACTGAACCATTGCGCAATGCAGTGAGAGTGGGAAGGGGATGAGGGTTGTTCTCTCTCCCCCCCCCTCCACGCGGAGAGTGGTGCAGGCGGGCACGAGGCTTGCTAGTTCTGGGGCAAGCAAGGTCCGTCCCATATGTTGTAGACTCAGAGGTTAGAGGAGTTACAACTCCCAGAATTTAAACCAGCATGGTTTTATGTACGGGTTTTGCACGTGTAGGAAGCTGGTGATACCTTTTAATTGGATTCTTAAAGCATCAGATTGCAAGCTTTCGTGGAGAAAATTTCACTTCTTCAGGCTCAGCACCACCTATAGTGCATTAAAATTGTAGAGATTTTGGGAACTGTGGTCTGAAAAACTACGTTTCTTGGGCTTATTTAATGAATTTTTCTTAAGTGATTATTTGTGTGGGTTTTTATTGTTATTATTATTAATTATTATTATTATTAATTAATTAATTAAAACTGGCAAGGCTTGCTTTTGGATTTTAAGTTGGTGTTTAGAATTGCTTTCTAACAATTGATTTTAAAAAGAAACTTCTAGAATCTTGCCTTGAAGTAATGTTTTGCTGTTGTTTTTCTGCATCACTTTTAGAAAAGGGATTCACAAGTATTGTTCAGTCCTTCAGAAAAACCTCTGGTTTATGAACGTGGGATGTTGCTTCTGAATGTTCCCAGTCATGGCAGAGAGCAGGACACAGAATAACAGTCTCAAATTACAGGGAACCAGATTTAGGTTGAATATCAGGAAAAAGCTCCTAACTGTTAGTTAGAGCAGTACAACAATGGAACCAGTGACCTTGGAAGGTGGTGAGTTCCAACACAGGAGGCATTACATAACCATCTTGTCAGGTCTGCTTTGATTTGGATTCATGTACTGAGCAGGATTTGGACTTGAAGACCTTATAGACCCCTTCCAACTCCATTAGTTCTTCACAGGGCTACTGTGAAAAGAAATTTGTTGTTCTTTAGTCGTGTCCGACTCTTCGTGACCCCATGAAACAGAGCACACCAGGCCCCCCTGTCTTCCACTGCCTCCCAGAATTGGGTCAAATTCATGTCTGTAGCTTCGATTACTACTGTCCAACCATCTCATCCTCTGTCATCCCCTTCTCCTCTTGCCTTCACTCTTTCCCAGCATCCGGGTCTTTTCCAGGGAGTCTTCTCTTCTCACGAGATGGCCAAAGTATTGGAGCCTCACCCTCAGGATCTGTCCTTCCAGAGTGGTCTGGTAGTCCAGATAGGCGGGATACAAATCAAATAAATAAATAAATAAATTCCAGTGAGCGCTCAGGGTTGATTTCCTTCAAAATGGATAGGTTCTTGCAGTCCAGGGGACTCTGAAGAGTCTCCTCCAACACCACAATTCAAAGGCATCAATTCTTTGATGAACAGCCTTCTTTATGGTCCAGCTCTCACTTCGATACATCACTACTGGAAAAACCATAGCTTTATGCGGACCTTTGTTGGCAACGTGATGTCTGCTTTTTAAGATGTTGCCTAGGTTTGTCAAGATGCTGCCTAGGTTTGTGAAGAGAAATAGGGCGAGTTAAAAATACTGTTTTGAACCCACAGGAGAAAGGATGATCAATAAAATGTAACTGGAACAGGAACAGAAAAAGGGGGTCAGATTTTATCACAATCCATGCCACTGTTTCTGTAGGCTTTGCTCTCTTGATTTGCTGTACCAACCTACTTTTTCTCTTCATTTGACTGTTCTGCAGACTTTAAAGCTTCAATGAGGATTAGTTAAAATTGGAAACTCGCCACTGCTAAGACTCTCCCCACACGCTCCCTGATCGTATTATTGATTCGTGGTTTCTTTAACGGCACCTACTAACAGTGACTTTGGCACCTCCCACATAAACGTGGATTGAGCGTGACCATTTGATGAATGGTTCCTCTTTCCAAGTGATGTTGATGGCTTATATGTTTAAAACTAAAGGAAGGATTAGCTGAAATAAAGACAAAATAGTAGAAGAAAATTTTTTTTCAGAAAGGAAGGTAGGTGCTTTAAATTCATTATTGGCAATTAGATGTTTGGCAGCAAATGGGGTAGGGGAAACAATGAAAAATCATCACTGACCAGACTTGAGCAGACCTGGATTTCTCATAGGACATAACTCCATCCTTGTTAGTTACCCCAGGTCCTAACAAGATAACAACTTTATTCACTAAATGTATCTTTAAATGTATGTTTGTATTTTTGGTCTTTTTTTTAAAAAAAAATGCACATTTCTGTGCCCATTTTTCAGAACTGTTTCAATAGCTTGTATATGCACACTACAGCCCATCTGTGCTGTCTTTTTGCCTAATCAAAATGTGCATCGCCGAGCACCCTCTGTCCTTCTGAGTGAGGGGGCTCACAATGGTGCTGTTTAAAGAAGCTTTTAAGGGCATCTTCTCTTCAATCACAATGTATTTCAGCCACTGATTCCACCATCCTTTAAGTTTTAAGTTAGGTCTTTACTGGACTAGATTTTGGTTTTCCTTTTTCTCTTGTTCCCTTATTTATTTATTTATTTATTTATTGGACTTATATACCGCCCCATAGCGCTACAAGCACTCTCCGGGCGGTTTACAATTTAAATTATACAGGCTACACATTTATTGTTACACTTATTTATTGTTAATTTAATTGTTAGGCTTACATTCATTGGTTGGATTTTTTTCCCCTTTGATTTCCTTTGTTAAACTGCCCAGAGTATTCACTAGATTGGGCAGTATATAACTTAGTAAGTAAACAAGTAAGTGTCAGAGGGTTCGTTAGAAGTTTTAGGCGGTCCCGAATTTGGCACAGAAACAGAGTCGAGTTGTTTAAACTATAACTATCTTTGTATTTGTGAAGGCTTTCATGGCCGGGATCTGATGGTTGTTGTGGGTGCATCTTCAGAGTACAGCACTCCCAAGGTAACTACACCAGAGCACAGAGTGCTGTCCTCTGAAGATGCTGGCCACAAAGACTGGCGAAACATTAGGAAGAACAACCTTCAGAACACGGCCAAAGAGCCCGAAAAACCCACAACAACCATAACTATCCTTATTCAAATTCAACAACAGTGTATTAATAACAACCTCTGTGGGGATGAATGAATCCCATTTGTTTAACTGTCCATCAAAGAATCTATCATGCTTGTCATAACTAAAGTCTCTCCTTAAATCTGGGGTGCTGGACCAAAGCACTCCTTGTCGTTGGGTTTTCTCAGAGGTGCACTCCTTACTGTGCATATAGTGCCGGGGTGGGCCCAATCCCCCTCTGGGGGTGGTTTGTTGAAGGTGGAGTCCGGTCGCACCACCTTCTCCCAGGGGCCGCATCCCCTCCGGTATACCACCACAGTCCATTCTGAGGTTTCTCTTATAGTTACAGTGGTGCCTTGCTTAACAACGATAATCCATTCCAGGAAAATCGCCGTTAAGTGAAAACATCGTAAAGTGAAATAAAAAACCCAATTGAAACACATTGAACCCCGTTCAGTGCATTCCAATGGGGTAAAAACCCCCCGTCCAGTGAAGATTCTCCATACAGCGGCCATTTTCACTGCCTGCATAGCGAGGAATCCATCCCTAAACACAGTGGGGAGCCATTTTAATTACCTGGTGGCCATTTTGAAACTGCCGATCAGCTGTTAGAAAAACATCATTTTGCGAAGAATTGGCACCCGAAGCAGGGGACCGATCATCGCAAAGCAAAATTCCCACTTTTAGACCATTGTTTTGCAATCGCAATTGTGATCGCAAAAAGATCGTCGTAAAGCGGATTCATTGTAATGCGGGGCAATCGTAAAGCGATGCACCACTGTACTTCTTCCTTATCTGTCACTGGGTCAGGCAACAGGCCACCAACCTTCAGGTTAGGGAAGTCTTTCAGCAGGTTACCCTCATCCTTCTCCTCCCTCTTTCTTGTCTCAATTCGAAAATCTCGCGCTCCTGCCCCAGCTTTTATGTCTTCCCCATACGTCTGTCCATTGCTCCTCCTCATTCCTTTTCTCTTCCTCTGACAGACACACCTCCACTGTAACCCTTTCTTTGTCTTCCTTCACCTTTACCACTTCCCTCTTATCCCTCTCCCCTTTTACGTCCTTGTTTTCTGGAGGAGACAGCGCACTCCTATCATCCTGTCCTTCACAGTAAGTAAAAGTATTTTTAGCAGATGCATTTGCAGCTGCTGTCCTGTAAGGTGCAGAAGATTCTGGAATGGCAGTTCAAGTAGGGCATACTCAAAATGGGAGGAGAGAGGTTCCCAGTTAGACTGATGGTCCATGAAAATTGACTCTTAGAAGAAGAACATTCTCCTAAGAGCATCCTATCCTGCTTTATGGCTGGTCATTCTCTGCTATTTTTATAAAAGCTGGGGCATGAGAAGCCTTAAGGGAAAGAAAAATATGATTTTACTTCCTGCAGCCCACCTTAGGTCAAGTTGTTGAATGATCAGAGGAGTAAAAGAACAAAGCAAATCCTCAGCTAGATACTTCCTAAAAGAAAAAGAAAAACCTCTCTCTCTCTTACTCCTTCTTACACACAAAGTGATGTTCGGAATCAAAGTTTTCAAAACTTTAATGGAGGAAAAAGAAAGGCAAACAGTCTGATTGCTCCAGTAAGCAGAATGGCCCACCGTGTGTTTTGAAATGCATGCAGAAAATCTTAGACACTTATTTTTCATGACTGCTTAGCACAAAGAGAAT